TTGAATTTGTTGAGCAGCCGCGTTTTTTTCTTTCTTTTCTTTTCTTTTCTTGTGTTCTATTTTGTTTTTTCTTTGCCCATTCCCTTGGGCGGGAAATTGGTGCACCGTCTTAAGCGGGAATACTGTGCACCAGCTATCCTTCTTTAATATAGTAAATAGATATTCAAAAGGACATTGAATTTTTTCATGAGTGACATAGTGGTTATTGATACAAAAAAGTCAATGATTTTATCTAAATTATTTATTTTATAATACTTATAATTCAATGTTGGATTAATATTTGCAATAGTAAGGAGTATTAGAATCTCAAATTGGCTGATGATATTTGCATGATCCACTTAATAAGGTGATGACAATCCTCCCCTAACAAGTCGGTTTTGTTAGGTTGAATTAAACCCAATATCATTTCTAATATGCTATCAGAGTAGACCCAGTTTTGTACTGTTGGGTGTACCAAATATATCTATTTGTTCACAATTATTTCACATGGTCCACGCTGTGCTTGAGTGGGCGTATTAGAATTTTAAATTAACTGGTGATATTTACATGATCCACTTAATAAGGTGAGGACAATCCTCCCATAACAAATCGATTTTATTAGGTTGAGTTAAACTCAATATCATTTCTAATAAGGAGGATAGATAGAGCATCCAAATATAAAATGACTTCACATATTAGAGTTCGTTTTCCAACAAATTAAAAAATCGATTTTATGAAAATAAGAATTACCACGACAATAGATAAAAATGACAAGTTATATTAAAATGTATGGTAAGAATTTTCTCCTATTCTTATAACACAAGTTGTGTGATAATAATTCCAACTTTTGGTCTTATTTATATGAATAATAATCATTACATGATTTTCTCTCTCTCTCTCGAACGACAGGGAAACAAGCTACAAGAGTAGAAGAAGGTCTGAGATAAGTCAATAAAAGTTTTTGATTCTTAGCATTTTGTTCAGCATTTTAACATTATCTTCTCTAATTCGAGTTTCGTATATTGGAGGGCAAACTCTTGCCAACCGTTCAACATACTGTCACATAGGTTGGAGATGAGCTCCATTAGGGAGAGTGTTACATAGCTAGTGACACTTGTTGTTCTTCATATTAATAGGAATGACAATGGGTCAAGACTGCTTAGCTTGACCAAATTCTAGACTCCGTTCGGCTCGTAGTCCAATGGGCCAAGACGAACTACCTCATTTTTTTTATTTAAAAAATTAACAAAATAAGCTCATAAGTAAACAAATTTTTTAAAAAAGAAATTAATAATGTAAGTAAAAAAACCAGCCGACCATCTCAACTCGATCATGACTTGTCTTAAAAGCCCAAGTCATCGAGCCACTCGAGTGGTTTGCCACTTATACGTCTAGCTACATTGGATAATTTTAAGAAGACAATATTTCGAAAGTGGCGTCATTTTCTACAATGACATGTAAAAATTCTATGAATTAAGCTAGTTGTACATCATGACTGTACAACTAATTTGACATCCTTTGAGATGTCAATCGAGGCCATTGATTTAAATGAATATTATTAAAATTACTGATAAATACTAATGTAGGTGTGACAAAATTGAAATTCTATAACAGACAACTCATTGTAGCACCACATGAGCACAGTTCCATTGCTGTTGACAATGACGCATCAACTTTGTGGATCCAATGACTAAGTACAGATGCCCGAAAATATAGGGGTATAAATGTGAAACCAACTTTTCTTCCCATCAAATTCCACTTTTACCACCCCGTCTTATAAGGAGACTTGACAGTAGTAGTAAATCACTGATAAAGGTACTATCAAATTTGCAGCTTTTTCAGCCTTTAAATTGATGATTTGTACATCNAAGGGTAAAATGGACAAAACACTCACAAAATGACAAAAAAGAGTAAACAAACAAGTAAGGGAAAAGGTACAAGTAGCATTCTCCATTTTAATAAGACAATATTTCGAAAGTGGCGTCATTTTCTACAATGACATGTAAAAATTCTATGAATTAAGCTAATTGTACATCATGAATGTACAACTAATTTGACATCCTTTGAGATGTCAATCGAGGCCATTGATTTAAATGAATATTATTAAAATTAGTGATAAATTATAATGTAGGTATGACAAAATTGAAATTCCATAACAGACAACTCATTGTAGCACCACATGAGCACAGTTCCATTGCTGTTGACAATGACGCATCAACTTTGTGGATCCAATGACTAATAAGTACAGATGCGCTAAAATATAGGGGTATAAATGTGAAACCAACTTTTCTTCCCATCAAATTTCACTTTTACCACCCCGTCTTATAAGGAGACTCGACAGTAGTAGTAAATCACTGATAAAGGTACTATCAAAGTTGCAGCTTTTTCAACCTTTAAATTGATGATTTGTACATC